CGTGCTGAGTCATCAGCATGAGGTCACTCGGTGCTCCTGCTGACGCGGGCCCGGGGCGGGGGGCCCAGGCCGGCTCTCGGGCAGTCCGAGCGGGCGGCAGGGCTCGATCCGGGCGGCGAAGGTCGGGCCAGGAGCCGGGGGTCGTGTTTAAGTTTATCGGACCTGTGAGTTGGAGGCAAAGGCCTCGAGGGACGCATCACCGGGGTGCGCCGCGGGTTCCTCGCGGGGTGGAAGGTAGAGCCCCGGGCTTACGCATCCCCCTAGGCTCTGGGGCTCCTGGTCCAGCTCCCCAAACTGGGAGACCGATCGGAGTACGCTGAGGGGAGGAGCCTAGGTGGGCCGAGCCCGCTTGTCTGGGAAGGAGGCTTTCCTTCTGAGTGACCCTGGCTGGCCGGGCGGCGTCGGCCTTGCACCGAAAAGACCGGGAGTCAGGACAGAAGGGTTGTGTGGCTTGAGGAAGCCGGGGCAGCTCTGCCAGCTAATGGGAGGGAAGCGTGGATGGTACCCGGTGGAAGTTTTGAGGTGCGAGCATGGAGTGGAGAACGTAGTTCTTTCTCATTTACCTCTCCTTTATCCCTGTCAGAAGAGTTTGGGGTCCCACTGTCGCCCGAAGTTAGCAAAAAGTGTGTGTGCCCTGTTGGGAGGCTGACCTGATGACAGCCTGTGTGGGGTGTGGCCCCCACCTTTGCATGGCTGCGTGGATGTTTACTGATTTCTCTTGCTGTGAAGGGTCCCGAGCTCTATTCCGCATTGCTTTCCTTGCCCGGGGTTTCATGGCTAGCTTAAGCTGACCTTGGGGTTAGGCTTAGAGACTTCCCATCCGCACTTACTACACTGAGCCCTGAGAATGCTCGTAGGTGCCAGGTGTTTCGTTTAGGGTGGAACTTTGTGCCCTATGAAAATTCAAGATCCCAGAGAGGTGTTTAAACTTTGGAGTCACTATGCTTCTGTGACATTTAAGTTGTTTTCAAATACTGTCAGTATCTGGGGTAGGGGAGACCTGAGTTTGGGCCTCGTGCACTGGAGTTTGCCCGAAAGGTTGAGGAAGGGCCACTGTCTTGCTTGAGACTAGTGTCCAGATGTCTGCTCTGAGAGTATTTGGAGGAGAGCAGAGCTGGGGGGCAAGCTGGCCTTGAGCAGCTTCTCTGAGCAGCTTCCTCAGGCTCTGAACTATACCTCAGGACAGCTGTCCCCCAAAGCTGTCTGCCTTGTCACCGTGTGACCCTAGGTTGGCAGGAGCTAGGCAGGCAGCTGGAAACACTAGCTTTGCTGAGACCTGCTCTCCCTCCCCGCTTAAGCATGCACAAGCACGGGCGAGCACACACACACACCTTTCACACACACACACACACACACCTTACACACACACACACACCTTACACACACACACACCTTTCACACACACACCTTACACACACACACACCTTACACACACACACCTTACACACACACACACCTTTCACACACACACCTTACACACACACACACCTTACACACACACACCTTACACACACACACACCTTACACACACACACCTTACACACACACACACCTTTCACACACACACCTTACACACACACACCCCTTACACACACACCTTTCACACACACACACACCTTTCACACACCCCTTTCACACACACACACCTTTCACACACACACCTTACACACACACACCCCTTACACACACACCTTTCACACACACACACACCTTTCACACACCCCTTTCACACACACACACCTTTCACACACACACCTTACACACACACACACCCCACACACACACACACACACACACACACCTTTGACCAGGAGGCAGTTGGCTGCACTTGTGCTGATCAGGCCTTCAGCAGAGGGGAAAATCTGTTGAGGAGGCACTTTTCAGCTCCCAGCTACCACACACTGCACTTCCCTGTGCAATCGCGGGAAGTCTGCAGTCTGTGTGAAAAAAGCTCCTGCTAGGGCTGCCTCTCTCACCTTTTCTTGTGCTCCTGGTGTGAGCCGGGGGCCACCTTCTAAGAAAGGCAGCTCCTCTTCAGACCCCTAGCCCTGACTTCTTTCTCTTTGATCTAACGGGACTCTTGCCTCTGAAAATGCTCTTAATCTGGCCCTGGAGAAGTGTCTCCAGCTTCTGTGCTTAGCACGTCCTGTGCAAGACTGAGAGTAGTAGGGTCTTTGCTCAGATGAGAACAGGAGCCTCTACCTCCCTGGCTCACACTTTAGTTCTTTTGATAAGTGTTAAGAAGCACCCCCCCACTCCCCCACCCCCACTCCTC